TACTATGGCGTCAAAGGATTCTTCAAATCCTTATTAGTCTAGGAATTACAGGTTCTATGCTTCACTTTATCAAAAACTTTCTTACGAATAGAAGCATCCAAGTCCGAGTTCTTAACAGTTCTTATCTGAAGCAGTGAAAATCAATAACGGAGTCCCGCAAGGATCAGTCATTAGTGTAACACTTTTCCTGGTAGCCTTAAACGATATCTTTCAATACATTCAAGCTCCGATCAAATGCTCAGCATACGCAGATGACATCACTCTATTTATACAAGGAAAAAAAATAAAAACAAGTGTTCAACTCATGCAGCTAGTTTTGAATAAACTAAATGCGTTCTCCAATGCTACCGGATTCCAATTCTCAACGACTAAATCCCAAGCTCTTCTCTGCCAGCACAGCGGCAACAATAATAAAGACATCAAATTAACCATTGGAAAAGAGCCTATCCAAGTAGTAGACGAAGTCAAAATCCTAGGTCTCATCTTCGACAAAAAACTAACTTGGACATCACAAATCACCGAACTGAAAAACCAATGCATCCGTCGCATGAACACACTCAAGGCATTATCAGCAAGGAACTGGGGAGCCAACCAACAAATAATAACAAACACCTACAAAGCTCTTATCCAATCGAAATTGGACTACGGATGTGCAGCATACGGATCAGGTAGTGAGAACACACTAAATAAACTAAATGTTATACTCCATTCGAGTATGAGGACAGCAATAGGGGCATACAGAACAAGTCCTGTATCAAGTATTCTCAGCGAAAGTAACATGCTACCGCTATACCTCAGGCGGAAAAATTAATCATGAACTTCACAGTTAAAATATTACACTCGCCAAACAACCAAGCACACTCTCTCTTATCGAAAAGTGTCCTTAACTTCGACCAAAATAAACCTCGACAAAAACAACCTTTCTACTTAAGAACGAAAAAATACTTTAACGGATTTAACATAAACTACGATGACATACTTCTCGAAGATGCCTCACGCACCATTAAACAAATAACCAGCGAAATTAAAAGAGAAAACAATAACATTTGGAAAAACGCCGCGAACAGTTGTTCTCTCAGAAAAATTAAATCTGATGTTTTTTCAAAAAACCCAGCCACCGACCTCAAAAGATCCGACCAAATCCGCATAACAAGACTAAGAATCGGACACACAGCCATAACTCACAAACACATTCTAATGAAAGAAAAAGCTCCTCAATGTGATAAGTGCAACACCAAACTCAGTGTTGAGCATCTCTTAGTATATTACCAGAAATACAATAACGAAAGATGTAAACACCAACTAAACTACCCCCTAGATGAACTCCTAAACAACATTTCTCTATGCAATAAAGTCATCAAATTCTTACATGAAACCAAATTAGCGAACCTTATATAACAATGTACTACCTTTTACAACACTTGTAAAACATATTGTAAACCACTGTAAACAATTGCTAAATATGCCGACCAACATGTAAAGTATCATTTGAATGTATATAATTCTATGTAAAATATATAACCAAGTGTCGCTAATACCCACTAAGGGGGATGCGACAGTAAATAAATAAATGAAAAAAAAAAAAAAAAAAAAAAAAAAAAACTGTAATTTTATAGTTCGTTAATTATTAAATAAAAAGAAATAAATTATAATTTTATTTCAGTAAGATTGTCATATCGCGCGTAGATAACCACGCATAGCCAATACATCTGGCATTAAGTAGCATAACAAACTAAAAATCTATAGATTTATAAGCTAAAGATCAATGTCTTACAATCTTATCACATCGCATTCGCATATCTCTTTTTAAGCTAAATGAACAATTCTATAATAAACTAATAATAATTAGTATTATAATTATAACGAGTTTCTAATATAATAATAATAAAAATTACGCATCCTATCTATAACAAAACAGTAGATACATTTAAAGTGAGTTATGAAAAGCAGGAAGAAGGAAACATCGACTTTTGCGCTTTATTTTGCCATTTAATGATTCTCCACAGAAATCTGGCATAATAAGCCATTGGGGAACGAATGGAAATGCGGCGCAACTTTATAAACAGATTATTCAAGTTAAACCGCGTGAATTTTAAAGGAAACGTCTGGCAGAAAAGGCTGACGGCAACGAAAAGAACATCGCAGCGACGTTTGAAAGGGAGAAATGTTCGCGTGTATCCGGTTGTCTGTGATTTTCCAACCTCCCGAGCTTTTAATGAAAGGCAGAGGCTTTCGTCATTCCCACGTTATTCGTGAACGGAATAAAGTTGCGCGACGCGTACAGAAGAGAAAAAGACGAAGAGTTCGCTCAATTGGCTAGCTTCGCAAAGATTAATTAGCAAGACAGTCGCGCAAGATTTTTATCTCGACCCTGGCGCATAATTCGTCGTCGCCTTCAACTGGAAGTTACTCGTTCGTACTCTGAATCCCGAAAAAGCCCGAGCTTAACGCTCTACATGCAGACGGATATACTTGAGGTACACGACGCGTATTTTGTTTCGTTTTTTTTTTCGGATAACGAAGTTTCGTCGAGAAGGAAAGTTTCTCACTCGCAAAGTTGTACGGTGATTGGAATTTTGAGCAGTTGTTTCCGTTCGTGAAAAATCATTAGTGTGTTTTATCATGAAGGACTGATAAGTGATTGAATAATTTTTTTTAGCCGCCGAAAATTATTTTCATTCAAATTAGTACACGAATATTAGTACACCACTAATTAAACCTGAAAGTAGCCGTCGATACAGTATGCAAAATTAAACGGGTGCCGATGACAATTTCGCGCTAAAATAACTGCCAGAACAAACACGAAAAGAAGGAATGAACAATGACGAGTTGATCAACAGTTCGTGATCTAGAATCGATCGCATGGACAGCTAAATGATTCGTCACGTAGGCGGCATTTCATCGGACTACATACGCGTACATATATGGCATAATATAGCGCATTCTCGTCGATTTTCGACTAACGAGTTGTACGTTGATTGTACATTTGACCCCGTTTGCCTTCTTCTCTATCTCGTCGATTCATTTCGCAATGGAAATGCTCCTGCGAGAAATACGAGCTCGAGACTCGCGTTATTATAACGCTACGCGAATGGAGTTTCAGCGTTGTTTAAATTATGTACATCAAAGATTTTGAGATTGGATAACGTTGCGTATACACGAAATTCGAAGTAATGTATCACGGGTGATCAAAGTGATGCGAATTCATTTTTCTTTCATTCGTAATTGTAGAAAGTCCGGGAAACGTGCGCATTTGCTCTCCTCGCTGCGAACGCGCGTAAGCTACGAGATAAAAAAAACATTAGCCTCGATGAAATTGTATAAAACATACAAACAACTTGAAATTCCCGTGCCAAATCATTACGTCATACCAGCAACCCTCGCACGCCGTAAACTCCAACTGTCCAATTACAATCTATAGAGGACTTCTCATAATTCTCCCTTTTAGTAAGGATTGTAAGGGCATTATATACTCAATTGAAAATCAGGTCGTAAAGATATACGCTTGAAATCGGAAAAATATTTTTGAATGCCCACATGTGCACGGCCAATTAGTGAAACGATAAAAGCCGCGACTAATCTTCAAACAAAGTCGCTTTCATTTAATATTAATCAGCAGAAATTGCTACGCTTATCATTATCGACTGGGATCTTGATTTTCCATAATATTGCGGAAATGCGATGTGAAATTATCACGCGAACGTGAAAATATAAAACGCCGAAGTTTGATCAAAACGAAATATGTCATGAAAAGCTATTGGTATGTGAACGTGAGTGACTTTAAGTGCTCGCTTCACTTCCGTTCATTTAAACGAGACCCCGCGCAGCAGCATCGCTAGATCGACGCAGAGTGCGAGGCTTTTGACATTTTCCAAAATTGAAAAGCCGACGCTCGAAAAAATAAAGGGAAAAAAGTAAAGCAAAGTGAGTGCGAAATAGCGTGTATTACATTTTTGCATCGTACGTCAGTTATACATGGAAAGAGACACCTTTCGACATAATCCGACTACCCACCGACCGCCATCGAATAACGCATGGAAACGCGATCATCCCTTGTTACGCATAAAGCGAAACGTATATATACGTAACGGAAAAATTGAATAGCGGCATCCATCGCAAGGAAATAGAGCAGGAAATGTCAGCGAATAATCAAAAAATGGACGAACACCCCCGCTATGGATTGAAGATCGAGTGGCTGTCCGAGAGAAGGAAACGGAGCTCCGTGTATCTGGCACGCACCTGCGCACGTCCCGAGTAATCGTCGACGTGACTCGGGCTTCGTCGCTCTCGCGCCGATCGGGACGCGTGCGTTTGCCACTGCAATACCGACCTCATCGGAGCTTCGTCGTCGAAAAGGCGAAATGGTCAGCCAAGTGAGCTCAGCTTTCGCCCGACAGAACCACAAAAAAAACTGAGCTCGACGGAGGGCGATTGCTTTGCTGGCGGTCGAGTGCTCGGCAGTGCGAATGACGTTCGCCTGCAACCTCGCTTGGCGGCCCCCGTCTCCTTGCCAGTAATTACAAAGCTCGCGCGCCCTTTTTTCTCGTTTTTACGAAAGTAAAGAGTGAGCGAGGGGTCGCCGCGTGTTGACGTATCGCGTTAGAGCCCACCACCGTGGACGCGTGTCGCACGCCGCCTCGTCAAATTGGACAAGTTCGGCGTTGCTCCGAGTCGACGATATGTACACGTAGCCTCGACTTTAAAAAGCAACGACCCTTCTGTTTCTTGAATGCTGGAGCCCGCGTGCGTGATTTCACGCACTGATCTCGCGGACGGTTATTCGTTGGTGATTCATTGTACACTCGCGTCGTAACGCTCTGGCAAGTCCGTCATTGCGAAGTCATAATGAAAGCTCGTTACGCTTGAACGAGCGTGAAAATTTTTATTCACAGACGATGTACGAATATTCCATGGAAATTTTTATTCATCCTCTTTTCTGGTATATTTTTCAACGTTGAGGTGGATATGCGACCAATATGATTCTGAGAATGTTTGCGAGATTTAATAAATTCCTTTTATTTTCGCAATATCACAACAAAATATAAGCAAGTCATAGACTGATAACTGACGACAGCTTCAAAAGTCAATGGATTCTTATATAGAATTACGAAACTTCATTGATTCAACTATCCAACAAAAAAGTATATATGGCGTCTTCTACTAAACCCTCCCGAGAGCACTTAACGTTATTGTAAGCGTAAGCAAGTCTGTAAGCTTCGAGATGCTTGCTAGCTGAAGGAGCCACTCATCGAAGATTGACATTATCCTTGTGCTCATACTTGTATATCCCCAGAATTTAGGTAGGATAAATTAAAAATATACCAGTAATGTAATCGTATCAAAAGATCGCGGCAACAGGATTTGTTTAGTAAGGCTCGCCAAGAGGCTTGATCGTGAGTTGAGTTATCTGCACGTGAACCGGTGTGCCAAGAACGAAAACAATTGCGTTAGCAATGTCATCCGGTTGTAAAGCAGGATTGGCATGAATAATACCAGTCGATTTATCCACGGCATTCTGGACAACTTCGGTTATGACTAGGCCCGGGCTTAGATTCTGTAAATTGGCAAAACTCGTAAGGATCGGAGATGATGAAAAACGCATGTGTAAGTATAATTATTTACTTACCGTTACGCGAATTTTACTCCCTAAGAGCTCATTAGTGAGTACTTCAGACAATGCTGTTAACGCGAATTTTGATGGCGAATAAACATTAGTGTGCGTGTTCATTAAGCAGCTCGGATGAATTACTTTATGACCTGCAATACTGAACAATTGCCAATTTTAATTAGCATTAGTTACAACGTAATTCAAATATTTTAAACCATACCTATTTATATTGATAATGTGCCCTTCGTCACTATTCTCTTTCATCAATTTTATTCCCTGTTTCGAGCAATACAACGGACCCATGAAATTGAGCGCAATTACTTGACTAAGCTCAGCTGTTTCAGCAGCTGTTGAGAATGTAAAAAAATATATTGCTATCGACATTTTAAATGAAATGTATCAACTTACCTTCGATGGTGTTCAAATTAACGCTTCCAGCATTATTAATCAGTACAGACAAAGATTTGAAAGTTCGCCTGACGTAATCGAATGCTTCGATGACCTCCGCTTCCTTCGTAACGTCGCACTTCTTTGCGTGAAATTCGCCTGGCCCTTCAGCGTTCTTCATTTCTTGCTGTGCACAAATATCAATCGTAAAAAGAAACTCTGATTGATGTTGATAATAGTATTGCGAGTTAATTTAATAACTCACTCTCATTTTTTCTTCCCGGCGTGCCAAGCCAATGACTATCATCCCGTTACGAACTAGAATCTTCGTTATGGACAAACCAATACCGGCTGATGCACCTGTGACTACAGCTACTTTTCCGTTCCAACGATCCATAGCTCGAGAAGTGTATAATTAACTACGACTGGCTTGATCAAGTACCGTAGATGCTACTGACAAATTTTACTTGTCATTTTTCTTGTATCTAGATTTTCGTTAGGTAATACTTGATAATTTTCAGCAAGTTTTTGATGATTCATAAATCATTTGAAAAGTGTAATAACACTGTATTATTAGCGCGTTTTGCGTATCATGCAATTTTTTCAGTAGTCTGCCATTAGAACGTCAAATCTTTCTAAATTGTAAGTATGAATGGAGTAATCATCCATCATAAACAATTTGAGTATTTAATTATCGGATGTGTCGTTACGTATATTAGCAATATGCTTTCACGAACAGAACAAAAATCTTCACTCATGCAGATCACCATACATGTCGTAAAATCATATTGTTTATTATATTACATGACTACAACACGGATTTGTAAATCTAAGCATGAAGATTATTTTATGAGCCGGAATAATATACTGTTACTTGTTTTTAACAATTGCAAATATAACACAACCGAAGCGTACTTAATTATTTCTTGATGAGTCATTAGTGAAAAGTAACGAAGTAAGCAATATTTTTTATCACAGCAAAAATCACAGAAACGCAATTGATATTCATTGTTTCCAATAGCTAAAGTGATTTATTTCTTTTATTTGTTGAAACTCGAAGTTATCGTCGTTGAAATAAAATTTTGTAGTGACTCTGTAGTTAAAATATACTTAAAATATACTAACAAATATGTTATCAAAATCATCATTATTACTTCAAATTCTTCGGCTCAATTCTTACGTCACATCAATATGTAAGCACACAATGAACTTTTCAAAATCTCAAACATCAGAACAACGTAAACAGTAGATGCTTCACTATACTTTTTTAAGATAGAATAAAAGCAAACATTAAAAACATCAACTGGATCGCTTTATTTTTTATGAAAGGAATTGTTGTTTTTCACCGATCACTCAATTCCGATCAAGAAACAACGTAGCTTTATTTTCTATATCATTAAAAAGAAGCGATGAAATGCCCCAGGAAAATTTTTCAATAAATGGTTCCTACACTGATAGCCAAGGGAGTAAATCTCAATTTTTATGGAAATTATTTTCAGAAATATGCTATATAAAATTATTTTGCCTATTTGAAAAGTGTGTAACAACAATCGACAAGATTTAACTACTTTTGCGCCTCCAAACGCAGCTGTCAACGGAATACACCTTCCAAACGGCACCAGCTATGACACATATGTTCCGCTGAGCATATAGGCATTAATTGAATGTAATTTTAATAATATATTAAGTGATTTTTCGCAATGACTCGCGCGGAAGTGCTTTGATTTTTAAATCACCAAATGCACCATTGACTCACTTGAAGAAAGCAGCGTGTACATTTTCTTAGTTAAGTCAAGTGTGCGTTACACCAACAAACGGTAGTGTGCATCGCATGCACAGAGAGAGAGAGAGAGAGAGAGAGAGAGAGAGAGAGAGAGAGAGAGAGATAGAGAGAGAATTACGTATAGGCACAACGCGAAGCGATGCGAAGGGGAGAAGGAGGTGAGGGTTTGGTGGGACAAGCATTCGATTGTGCCGTTGTCTCTTGTGCACGCTAGAACTATTTGCTTGGTGCTAGGGCTATTGGATCCAAGGTTTAATTATTTCTGACTATGGCTCCAGTTATGCGGATGTCAGACGCATTGCGTCCTTCTCCTCTGCCCTATCCCCTCCGCCGTGAGTTTAAGCCTGCCTCGACACTCTGCGTGCATCTATGCAGTTATTAATCAAAAACTGAAATGGTATAGAATAACGTAGATCGAATTTGCACTAATATGAACCGAGGATTGTGGATATGCATCAGCTATTGAATTGCTGAAATCATACTGCTAATTTACGCATAAACACAATACAATAGAGTGGTCAATCGATATCAATGTATAATTGTCCTGCCTTGTTGGTGCAGCCAATAGCTCAAGTACAATATGCTATAGAGATCAAAATCACAGCGAAATATAGTGGGCGTATTGATTACGGCGGTATCAGCCCAAACGATCCAGACTGCTATTTTATCAGTTTTATTATCTCAATAAGCTGACACTGAATCAGCTTATCCATCAACTTATTCGTTTTGTTGTGTAATAATCACCTATAGAAGTACGAATCGTCACGGAGAAAGTTTTTTGAGCCGTTTCAAGTATCGCAAAAGTCACATTCACAATTGTCAAAAGCCGCTCCAATCTGCGTCTAATCTGCGGCTAAAAGAGCGATAAACTTTTTTGTCAACCTACATGCCCAATTTTTGCGCGTCGAATTGAAGTCGCTAACTAGCTTGCAAATGAACTGTCGTTTTTCAATTCAAAAAACATAAAGTACTGCCGTGTCAAATACACCGAGTAGCTGCTGTGCGAGGTGGATCTCAATTCAGAAACGAGGTCACGCGCTGGATGAGAAATGATGCTCGTAACAGAACTTTCTGAAGGGATTTCTTTCATATAGTCAATTGAAATTGACTGTATGAGGTTGTACGGTTCAAATTAATATGCATGTACCGTATTTCGAGCGAACGAAAAGCAGTTGGAATTATTTTTCAAAATAAAGTCAGTTTCAGCAACGCATCGTTTAGTTTTCGGAACATAAAGTCATTAGCAGAAAGGCAAAATTTCACGTACGTGCGCAGTTTGCAAAGAAAAAAAATTGTGTCTGCATATCTTTTTGCGTTATCAAACGAATTTTAAATGAAAGCAACGTCACTAGATTTCCTTTCTATATAGAACATTGTAAAGAGAGAGTCTTTTTTAGCAGTTTAAAATCGTCCCGCGACTCTATTCACAAAATTATTTGCCCGGGGAAAGGACGGCACGAATGCTCGGACTACTAAGCAACGTGCCGGGCGTGCGGGTTGCGACGTTCGCGAGGCGAGAGAGCTGAAATTCGGAAAGGAGAGGAAAGAACGCCCAAATCACACCGGCAATTTCGTTAATAAAATCAAATTTTATTGCTGACCCATTTGCTATGTACAAAGCGAAGAAAGAAACGCGTGGACCCGGCAAAAACGCACCTGTAACTGCGATCGGCCTGTACTTCTCCGTTCGACCACGAGGACCATAAATCGCTCAGCCGTGACACTAAAGTCACCTCGGGTCGGCAACGCCCGCGAAAGTCACGCGCGCGCCCGGCGACCGAGCAGAGAGCTCGCGCTGCTGATGCTGTTGCTGCTTACGCTGTTGCTCGGAAATCTCCGGGGCACCAGTGGAGCTGCTGCGAAGGCTGGGCCGACCCGGTTCACCAACCTCAAGGACGTCCAACACAAAATGGCGCAGCGGTGGCCCCCGCACGGCTGCTTACGGGTTCGCGCGCAACGAGGTTTTCGTGTGCGCTTACTCGCTCCTGCGTTGGACCACGTATTCTCTCTTTCTGCTCCTCTCTCTCTCTCACTATTTCTCTCCCCACGCGTCTTCGCCTCTACGGTCCGCCACGCTGGCTATGCAATTTTTAAATGCTATAACTTTTGTTTTATATTCACCGAAAATACAATAATATCTTGGTTGAGAAATCATGCCTGTTTAATATTTTGACAAATATTTCTAACTTTGCTATTGTTAATTGTCATTGTGTAGCCAGTGACGCAGACAAATGTTTCATACCCTTTTAAATAAAAATACCTATTTTATACTATTAATTTTATTAAATAATTGAGTGATGAAAAACTTTTATTCAGGGCCTATTGGCTTTAATGTTTCATGTTTTTTCAATTGTTTCAAAGCTGTTTTATGAGCTATGGTATGTATATGTACATGAATATTAAATTTTTGCCTGAAAAATCTCATTTGACTATTATTGGACATTAATGTTTTTTAAATCTGATAAACAGGTTAGAGCGAAGGCGCACATATAAAGACCACTCGTAAACTAACAATGAAGTAATATTGAAAAAGAACGCGACGTTAGAAACTCTTACGATCTGACACGTATATGTAACCGAAAGCATATAAACTTCGATTATCTCCAGTTTATACGATCAATATTAACATTTAAATTAGCCAACGTTGCCGCGCACTTGAGCCGTGAATTAATTGGATATTAAAATTGCACGCCCGAGGCGAAACATTATAAACTCATCATCGGTTTCAAAATGTCGTTAAAAATTTACAACGCCCTAGCTCATGCGTGTATGTATACGTACATACTAACGAAACCTATAATTTGTTTTTTTTTTTTTTATTTTCAAATATATTTATTTATAACCTATGCCGACAAGAAGTATGAATGGTACTACAAAATGGGTAACATTGTGATATTAAATCTATAATATATAAGATATTTCTCCAATGATCAATACCGAAAAACTATAGAAAAAGTGAAATAATTTTTATTTTTCAGAATTGACTTTCAATTTGATTATATGATACTTTGTATTTCTTGAATCTAGATACCCTTAAAGTTGTATACGTTATATTCAATTGGATAGTCGATTGGTGGTGGTGCCTTTTGTAGACAGCTTTTATTTCTTCTTTTATAATTGGTATATTGACCCATTAACGCACAAAGAGATGTAGTTGGACACTCGAAAAAAAAATTAACTTTTCGACGGTTTTGAGTTACAATGACGATATTTTATAAATAAAATTGGCTGTTCTTTCAAATGTGGTTATTTATTTTTAGTTGCTACCCCACATAAGGAATAAAAGTGGAAGTTAAATGAAGAAAAGTCGTCCAATTAATAAAAACATCGTTGGACAAACCCAGTACAAAATTCTTCACAATACTCAAAAACTGTTCTTTCTGATTTGTTTTGTTACAAAAATAATGAATTGTGGCGTACCATAAATTAATTTACAACCCATAGCAAGGGGTAAAATCAATTATTTTTATGAAAAATGTACAAATAATTTTCTAGTGTATATTCATGGTTTTCATTGGAAATTGATAATTTTTCTTATCTAAATGTGTAAAAAATTGTCTAATAAATCCCTTAAAACGAGAAAAAATCCCTAATATAAGAGTGAACATTTTTTTAAGATAATAAAAATATTTCTTATGCAATGCAAGAGTTAGTA